AAAGATTGAACTATAGATTATTTTTAATTAACAAAACTATCAAGTTTCTCATAGTAGTCAAAAAGTCCCCATTCTTCTTCAAAACATGGAAAACTAATTGTATACGCTAAAGAATATAACAAACCGCAGAACTGATAAAAAGAAAGAACCATTCTCCCAGTAACACAACAAGGATTAAACTGATCGAAAGTTGTTAACCACCCCTGCTTATATGCTCGTAACAAAGAGGCAAGAGAAATGAGTATTGGCTGAGAGTTGCCAATACTTAATTACACGTTCAGAGTGACATCTGTTGAGTAGTCAAATATTACGAACGACAGATTACACAATTGATGTTCGGACGCAGACTTGTATATAAATATGTGCATCAACATTATATTTCAATCCATTTTGTTAGAATAAAAACTATTCTTAATTATTATCAAGCAGGTAAAGCGCAGTCTTATGGCTAATGTGCAGCTAATTAAATTTTGTAAAGGAACTAAAGTCAGTGATGAATATCCAGTCATAACACTTTCAGGAAGACGAATTTACAGTATATAAGTTATCAATTTATTTAGCCCTAAAAATTTACAATTTGAAGAGGGGGTTTCTCCGAGTGGAAGGTCGTGTTGGGAAGGGTGTGCAAGCATTATATGAGGAGGTACGAAGGTGGTGGGTAGGATCAGAGATGAAAGAGTGTGAGGATGTGCTGCGAGCTTTATTGTATGTTAGAGATCCGTCTAGGATACGGGTGGGTGTTCTGGAGCGTGCTGTAGGGGTGAGGGTGATTGCGAATGTTGAGGGCATATACCCAATGTATGCATGGGGAGACATTTGGGTAAGGTTGCGGTTGATGCGCATCAGACCAAGAGTGAGAGAGGTAATGTTTCGTTTCCTTCATGGAATATTGCCGTCTGGTGTGGTGCTTCGGGAGAGAGGGTTGATGGTGGAGGACGTATGTAGGGCGTGTGGGGATAGGGAGACAGCTTTTCATGTAGTATATTTTTGTAAAAATTTGGAGTGTATACGGGAGTGGATGGGTGGGATTTTGAGGAGGGTGGGTGGGGGAGGGATATCGGTATTTTTTTTTTTATTGAAAAACGCAATACACAGTTATACATGTAGACAATGTAAGCAATGAAACGTATCCATTATATATAACAAAAGAAAACTCCACATTCCCTACCTTAGCACTAAACTTATACATAAGAACTAAACTAAAGACAGCCCACAGCTTCAATACAGGTGGGTTTATGACATCCAAAATTGCAGCCATAAACACAACATGCAATATAACCCAAAGAATGTCACAGGCATTTACATTTCACATAAAACTGTATATACGAAGACATTCTCAATTATCCAAAATTCTTTACACACTTATTATTGTTGTATATTAAACTTCATATCAAATACATAATACATAACACCTCAATAAATTACGAAACAAATAAAGGTTAGAAAATAACAATCTCCACACCTCACCACAGAAAAACTAAACACAGTATAATATAACAAATGATTCGTCCCACCTCACTTACATACACTACATTCATGCCATACTACCTAAGCGAACAAACACTACATCATCCCACAAGCGAACTTACACAATCACGTATATTTAGTAATATTTTTCAAATATAATTTCCATTTTTAAGTAACAAACTTCTTCTACCATATAATAAAATATACATAGTCATTACTATTAAACATTAACTTAAACAAGTACTATATTCTTATTCTACAGACCACAACATTTCTTGCCTCACCATCCTAACCCTACTTAACACATTATACATGAACACGTCCTTATATACCCATCACTCGTCAATAATATTCATTGAACTTCACCGAATACTAATATACAACCCATACTGAGTACATGAAATTCTCTCTTACATACTGCTATATACACTTAATGTATGATAAAAATCACACACTTGCATTATCTCATTATGAGCAGTACATTTGGTACACAGACATATTTATCACGCCCGCATGTCCTTTGCTTTAATACAACCACCAATCCTGATAATACATTACAACATATTCCAAATTTAACTTATCCATAACATACAATTAGTACCATCCTGAGTATGACCGTATACTATTCACATTCACACAGATATTGCTCATTTCCATGTCCATAAAAATCTTAACAACTTTTCCCTTACAAACCACCACAAACTTACTTAAAACACACTCCACAACTACGCTACCATTT